CGCGTTTCGGGAACTCCTGGAACCATCTACGACGGCACTTTGGCCGCCGAGCAGCTCCCTTCGGGGGGAGCGCTGGCTGCGGGGGCCCCTCGCTGCCAACTCACCGCACGTAAGCGGGGGCGCCAGGGCGGCGGCGGTGGGGTTTGCAGGAACAGCTGCATCGGTTCATTGGTTTGGGGTTGAACAAATTCCTTCTGAAGCTCCAAAGAAGGAGCTCACAGCCCCAGGGCTCTAAATAATCCCTTGGATCTTCCCGCTTGGAATGATGCTGTTGTTGCTGCTAATAATAATAGGACCCGAATTATAGGACAATAACATTTATTTAGAGCATGAGGGATTCCACATTATACAAAGCCTTAATTTTTTTTATTCTTTTTTTTTGTTTCACTGGTCCATTTCTACAACAAATACATCAGATCTACTATATAATAAAACTATTTACATTTCCAAACAAGATCAGGTTTGCTTATAAACCCTCTTACTGCTATTCACATACAGTACTTAAAACGACAGCACAATACATTATTTTAACACCTAAAAATGACAACCCTGTATTCTAATTTGTTTATGAAAAGTGGAAACAAATAAATTTACAGTTGTCTTCCCCTCCCCGTCCGGTTCATACAAACGCATTAACCTAATGTGCTAACCCTGGACTTCACTTGGTAAATCCAGGGGGTTTTAGGAGAACTCAGTTTTTATATCTATTTATCTGTTTTTTAGAAAAAAAAAAAAATCATTTATTGGGAACAGTATAATATTAAAATGACTTACTGTACAGAATTTTATTTAAAAAAGAAAAATCACAGCTCAAAATCGCTATTGGTAAATTCACACTCATTTACAAGTTTCATGTTTCCATGCAGTAATTTACTTGGATTTTCTTCTTTTTGACTGCATTGCACTGGCACTCGTTTCTGAAATTAAGAGAAGAAAAAAAGCATGGATACGACGTCGGTAAGCCATTCCCCAGAGGTGCACAGATTGCCCTTTTATTTTTCCAAAAATCACACCGGAGCGGAAACCTCTGAAGCTCAGGATTTCCGCAGAACCGGGACTGACTCTTCCCAAGTCGGAACACGAACGGACCCTCTCCCCTGCCGGCAGCTGTCAGCGGTGAAACACCACCGAGCTCCCCCTGGCTCCTGGTACGACACCATTTCCCAGTCTATTTTTAACTGTTCTTTAACTTTAGCTCCCCACATGCCACAACTCGCGCCGAAGGAAACCCCCGTGAGACAGGAGCGCCGGGCGCAGACTGCGCCCACCAGAGCCCAGTGTCGCGGAGATGGGCTGGAAAAACAACTTAGGAAGGTATTTTGGAGCTGCCACGCAAGTTCAGAACCGAGTTGGCTTGAGTCCTTGGAAAGTGAGGTCATTAGCAAACGAGTCTCTTCGGTTTACGTTATGATTCACAGGAAAAAAAAACCCAACAGCTTATGCAGAGAGATACAAAATATTATCGAGCCCTGCAGCAGCACGACCAGAAGCACTCGCAGAAGCCACAGTGAAAGCAGATGATGTTTTCAGTGCACTTACCAAGGCACTAAGTTTCCATTTCAAAATGAAAAAAAGAGTAAGAACCAAGAGTATTTGCATCTTTAGATTTTTTTTTTAAATGTGATTTTAAATGTTGGTAATGTATCTTTGGCTCTTTATGATATTTTCTGAAAACTGTTAGAGCTGTGTGTAGTTTAGAGTCAAAAGGGAAAAAAATTTCCAAGATATTTAAAACTAGAAACTGGTAAAAGTCCATGGCTGTTAAATGTTGTATTAAAAAAAATAAACAATCAACATTTCAAAATTTAACAAACTCGAAGCTACAGTAAATGCTGAAACAGCCCTTGCTGGAAAGGTACTCCAAAAAAATGAAAATACCAATACAGTACTGGTTTTCAGAAGTGAAACATCTTAACAGGCATGACTGCCCGTCACTGGAGCTCCCTCTGGGCAGCGATGCTACGTGGAAGTAGCTGAGTCAGCAGCATTAGCTGCAGCCGTCCCTGCGGCCGCTGCTGGGGGCTCCGTGTTCGGGAGAACAATGGGTCAGCGGTCAGCAGCTGCACCTGTCCCAGTCCCCCGTCCCTTGTGAGCATCACCAGCATCTCGTGAGCATCACCAGCATCTCCCTCGCCTGCTTCTCCCCAAAACCTGCACACCGAGTACACATGGAGGAGGGCTGACTTTCAGTGTGTCCTCTTCTCTCACAGTTATCCTTCTGCCTGCTCCTTCCCGATGCTTAGCAAGGGAATTCCTCCAGGAACTGGTCAAAGTTCACTTCTCTCTCCCTGCTGTTTAAGTTTTTCCTTAATTGCCATTTTTATAATGGCATTAATCAGCCTCCATCTCAGAAGGTAACTTCTCCCAGCCCCGCGTCCTCTTTAACATGGAACAGCAAGTTTCTCAGGACACGGATAACGGAACCGCCGATGTCTAGGAGGAGGCCAGGAGCACACAGAACAAACGTGCTTCCTTAAGCTGTGATTCACTAATAAACCCATGGAACAGAGCAGGCACAAGCAGCAAACCTCGTTACACTCCTGCAGCTCCCTCACTGATCCTCCAGCCTGTCCTCTTCCGCAAGAGACTCCGGGTTTGCTCAGTTTCTCTACAACCTGGAAGCAGCAGTTGCCTGCCCGGAGATAAGGTAATCAAAGCCCAGGGTACTGGTTAAGCTGGACCTATGTTTCAAGCAAAACCCTTCAGTGCTGTGGCAGTTTCAGAAGTTTGTTTTAAAACCAACTTTTTTTTTTTTTTTTTACTTACAGAGGTAAGTGAATAATACAGTCAGTACAAAAGCCCTAAGCCAGTTCTGGTACGATTTAAATTTGATGTACTTTCACGTTCCCACATTTTCAGAATTTGACGTGCCACCGGTTGTCATCTTTAGGTTTATTCATTACAGTATGTGGGGCAGCTCATGTTTCAGATCCCCTCAAACTCAGGAAGGTACCACCAAATCCATTTTACATTGGCTTCACATTTTCCAAACTTTTCTTCACAATCATGAAAGATAAATTGGTTTTTACAATACAGGCTTAAGATTCTTCTGCACAATCCTGCCATGAGAAGTAAATTTAATTAAATTCAGCAGCCACAAAAGTGCAGAACATATAGGTCCCTCAAGTAATCTTTCAGAGTCATTGCACAGTTATGTAGAGCAGAAAGTCTTCTCTGAAACTCTTAAAATGCAAATAATCTTACCACCAAACTTTAGTATCTTCAGTATGGAAAATGGTTGCTGAATTCAACTTGACTTCCTTTTATAATAATTTTATATTAACACCTTAGTTCTGTATGTTATCTTTAAAATATTGGTCGAATGTTGCCTCTTGACAGTCTCTCTCTACCCTCTCGCACAACTTTCATCCATCGGAATTTTTCCGACCCTTAAGCACACGGAGCCGACACAATCAGCTCCGCGCAGAACGGCACCGTGCCCTCGGTCACGACCGTGTGTCTCACACAAAAGCTGCACCTTTTATTAAAGACTGCAACCCGTGTAGAAACAAGGCACGTCAGCACCTGCTCACGCCAGGGGTTAACATCTGTAACGTCAGGATTTCCCATGTTCTTGCCAAGCACGGCTGAGGCTCTGCGCGTTCGCACACGGCACCGCCCGGGGCGCCGGGTGCCGCCCCGAACCACAGCGTTCGGCTTCGCAGGAGCTGACCGTGCACTTGGGAAGGCTTAAGTGTTTGTATCATGTCTTTCAGGCTTCAGGAAGGCAAAAAAAAAAAAAAAGTCACTATTTTACTTGAGTGCAGTCCTTTTAGTGGCAACGCGTTTCTGCCAAGAGAATTCAGCTTCGACTAGGCAAGCGTGCTGAACGCTACGGCGACGAGTAGCGCAGAAAACGAGTGCCACAGCTCCAACCACGGAAATCCGTACGGGATTTACTGCCGGTACAGACGTCGGTCAGGAAACACTTCCACACCAACCCGTGCCTAAATCATTGCAACTCCAGTTAAAAGCACCCAATGCTCAGAAGCTGTAAACCACGGTTCTGAGCCAGTGATGGCCAGGGTTATTATCTGGGGAAGTACGTTACTTCCTGCCCTCTCCAGAGAAACGACGGCTGCGCGTTTTACCTTTTGCAGTGCTGGATGCAGATGCTGGTCTGGAGGATCTCTTGCGCTGTCCGTTCTCTACAGTTTCCTGTGAAGCGGCAGAATCCTCTGTTCTTGAATTTCTTCTATTTGGAGTTTTAGACTTTTCACAATTCTCTTTTGTCTCATTACTAATAAAGTGGGACAAAATATTTCTGATGAAGTGTAAGAAGAATTATGTTTTTCTATGCAACTCAGACAAGCTGGAGGATGGACCGACACAGGTACCAGTTCCGGACTATTAGCACTGAAGATATGAAATGCTAGAGATACCAGAAGTTTTATCAGATGAAGAATGACCTGAGTAAGCCAGAGTATAGTCCGTTTCTATTAAAAATTATCAGAAGATACAGAATTGAGAAGTCCTCAAAGAGAATATTTTCAACATTAGAAGACCAAGAAATTAGATGCATTATAAATTGTCTGCTCTGTTTTCCACAGGTGCCACCATTACTGAAGTCTAGGAAAAGCAAACAAGTTACATTAGAGATTGCTACGATACGGGAACACAGAGATGAAATTGCAGATGCACATAAGGAGGAATTACGAGCTCTGAATTCAGTTGCCAGCTTGTTTGTACTAAAGAGATCCGCTCCACTGTGCCAAGTGAGGTCTTCACCTATTAAAAAGCTTAAGGTTTACTTAAAACTTTCTTCAAGCTTTAACGCTTGAAGTTAAAATCTTTTTTTTGTAACAGCAAGCTTTTTGTGCTCTAAAAAAATAATTTTAGGTAGTGTGGAACTCTGCATTTCTTGTCACTGAGGCAATAAACAGAGTGCTACATTTTGTAATTAAACTCCTCTTCTATTTTATCACTCTTAACCCTGTAAACTCATCCTGAGGTTTGGGTGTTTTCTCCTTAATGCGTCAATGCCAGCCAATTTCTGATGACTAAGTGGTTTCTGAAGATTAAGCTAAACTTATCTCTTGTGAATCCAAAGGTAAGCAATTAACCAAATAAATTATGCTGCTGGTAACAGAAAACGAGAAAGAAAACTCATTTCATGCCCTTTGGCTGATACTTGCAAGATTTCAAGAAAGGCTGCCTTAACCAGACTGGAACACACAGAGCAGACCTGTGCGTTACAGAGGTTCCACTAGAGTGTCCCTGTTTCAGACAAGTCCTGCTTTGAGAGGAAAAAAACTACTACAAATACTTGTAGTTTGAAGGAAGAGATACCTGAAAGAAAACACGGTTTGTCAGCGAAAGGAGAGACAAACATTCTCAAGCAAGGAAACACACAGCAGAGAATATGGAAGCGCGTGGATTGTCTCAGACACAAAATAAATACTGAAACCTATTTCCTCAGAAGTCAGAATTATGGGTAATCTATAAACCGAAAACCTCAAACAGGTCACAAACTGGTCTTCTGCTAAGTAACCTGGGCAGCTGAAACAACGGCCAACTACTTCAAGAGGACACCTGGAGGGAGGCAAACGGGCATCGTCAGCTGCAGTTCAGTGATCACAGATAATTTTTACAGATCCCATAGCTTGGATCGTCTCACGGGAACCAACACATCACTTCTCTCCTTTTACAGGAGGAAATCAACTCCGCTCGAGGGAAAATATTTCTAGTGGTTTGTAGGTTGCAAAGTTCCTCTGAGGTTTGTACAGTGTGGCATTCAACTCCAGGAGCTCGGAGCCGACCGCTGGGAGCATCAGCCATCACTAGAGTCACAGCTTGCCTGAGAACTTTCCTTCTTTTCCGGTTTTGCTCAGAAAAGCATCAGTCCAGAAAAATTCAAACAGAAACGCACTTGTGGTAATTTGATGTGCTGAATGAGTTTGGAGAACGGTCACGCAAGGACACTTCATTTGGAGAAGCTGCTCATCTGCCAAGTGTCACACCTTCGGCTTGCTAGAAAAATTCTACCCTAAAAAAACCTTGTTGTGAGATTTCAGTTCGGTTTTGATACAATCAGAAAGATCCCCGTCCACGTGAAGGTAAATATAGTTAAATATTCAATTCAGAGTCACTCCTGACCTGAGGAAGTGCACTGTGCCACCTCCCTTACGAAAGAAGACAATCTCATCTCCCGAGGAGCCAAACGAGTGAAGTGCCCCTCCTGCCCTGGCATAGGGGATTGCTCCACTGAAAGGGCAGCACCAAAAACCCGTCTGGCTGTGCCAGCACAGTCATCCCAACCCCTTGCGAAGGTCTGTCATTAGGGCTGCCTAGACTGAGTTTAAGAGCCTGGTGGGTTTAGAATCCAACAGAAATAGATCTTGGAAACCATCTTTTCTCCTGACAGAACACAACCATTTGAAATTGGATCTTTCAACTATGGAATGTCCTAATTGGGACAAGATGAAGGATCTACCTGGCTTTCCTATCGGGTTTTTGCAAAGTGTCAACAAGCAAACACAGAGGGAATCTGGAGAAAACAGTCACAAAGGCAGAACAACAACAAACTTTAGAAAGAGTTTCAGAAAATAAAAATTCACATGATAGCTAAGCTGCAAGCTTTGGGAGTTCTAGTTTTGACTTGTTTTCAGAAAAATAACGAACAGTAGAACCATCAAGACCCTTCCAGGATGTGAAACACTCAGGTCTCAAGGGATAAGAGGAAACACCACCCAAAGCACGAAGACAGACTGGGGAAAAGTTACCTTACGATCTGCATTTCAGCAAGGTTTTGAAACATTCAACCAGCCCGATTTCTTAGCAGGACAGAAAGGGTATGGACAAGAAAATGTAAAGCAGTAGCAGAAGTTGTGCAATTGAAGCAAAGAGAAAGGGATTTCCTCCCATGAAAGCTGAATCTATTCCGAATCTACACAAACTATCTCCTTACCTTTGACCAGCAACTACTGCAGCATTTGTTTCAAGTTCTACAAGAGAAAAAGATAATTTTAAAGTCTGCTGTAGAAGCACATGAAGCACATACCCGCTGACAAGGCATGACTATCTCACGTTTTTCTCGTTATGCACTAGGTCTGACGAGTAAACACTGCTCTCGTCTACCGTTTGTCTCAAAGCAAAGCCAAGCCAACACAGCAAAGCACCACACCAGCCACGTGCTCCTTCTGATTACGGCCCGCAGCAGCTACGGCAGAGAAAAGTTAGAAGGAACCCTGCACATGAAAACTGCAGAGAAGCTTCCTGGCGAGGGCTGCAGTCCTCTCCCTTTTTTAACTTCCAGCTTAGTTTATTTAAAACTTGAAGGTTTTGTTAGCTTTGAACCTTAAAAATACTAATCTGGATGTATTATGCATGTAAAATTTTGCCTTAACCCAATCACCTCTCATGGCAGCATCTTCTGATGCAAAGGAAGACAGTTTTCTGAAGCCCAATTATACTTCTACTGAATTGGGAAAAAAATAAAAATCTCTTGGGAGATGATGTACAGAGAAGTCTGGCCTGACTTCTTTCTCTCAGAGTAATTTCAGACACACAGCTCGGGTTTCCTTTTGAGTCTTCACCACAATAAACAGCTCTCCTTTCCATCATAGAAGATTTCTAATCTTTTTACTGTCCATCTTTCAATTCTCCCCATATCTGCCAGATGCTTTGTCGAGAGGGAAATCTCTGCCTAAATACAGCACCTCTGGTGAGAAACTGCCACTGCTCAGGGACCACCGTTACGACGTAACGCCCCAATTCACTTCTTGTTTGTCACACTGTCTATGGGTAACTCCATCTCACCCTTGAACACCCGACAGTCTTTGGGACAGTAGTGCACAAAACCGTAGCTTTGCCTTTAAGACAAATTTAGTACCCAAAATTTGCTAGAGTGTGCACAAGGAATAAAGGTGTGGGAAAAAAAAAAAATTAAGAAAACACATAATATCCGTCCCCTGATGGTAAATACCCCTTACAATTTGTATTGTTGGAACATCAGACTCTTCAGTGCATTTAGCACCGTCTGGGAAAAACAGATGTCTTGGTAACAAAGGGAAAACAGACCGAGCGGCGTAAGGGAAGAGTCACTTTTCTTCCTACCCAAAATTTGAACAGGGGGAATATCCAATAGTAAAAAAATCGGTAACGTCAGTGCTTCCCCCCTGCAGGAAGGACCTAGTGCAGCCACACCAGCACCGGGGCAGTGAGCCAAAGTAAACCCACAGGGTGCACGAACATCTTTGTTCAAGTGGAAGTTCAAAGAAAGCAATTTAGTAAAATTTTTACTTCCTGAAAGTTCTGCTTCTAATCGCCTTACAGATGGCAAATTGATGGAGAGTGGCACTTCTCCTGCGCAAGCCCACAGCTATCCATCTGCCCTACTCCTCTTGGAAACTACTGTTTTAAGACACCACAGAGCTGATGGTGAAACATCATGATAACACATGGCAACAACAAAAAGTCATCTCCATCCCTGAAACACTGCCGAGGGTTCATTAAAAGCTCAACAGGGGAAAAAAAAAAAAGGATTACAACTCTAAAACTTACATTCCCAGCACGGCTTTTGGAGATATTTTCAGAGTTGTCCCATATAAAACTCCTATTGGCTCTTAACAAAACTTCCAAACTCAAACACAACGTGTCATTAAAAACCCAGCGCCTCCAGCTTACGACTGGCTTTGTAAATGAAAAAACAAATTTTTTCATTTGTTTTACTTGATCCCACACTGAATTTCCAACGAGGTTTTGGAGACTGCTAAAGCACAACATATTTAACAAAGAAAAGCAATCCCAAAAGCACAAATAATAAAAAATAACCCCAACCCCCAAACTACCAAGCACATTAGCGACCATTAAATATGCATCAAAATAAATGCATTTTCAGTTACAAACATAAAAAGTGTAGTTCACCTACATTCTGCTTTTCCAAAGTAAGATTTACCTGTTCTTTGAACAGTACTTTCTGATGTTGCAACTGAACTTTTTTTCTGTGTTAAATGTTGAGAGGATGCTAGAATAAAAGCGGAGGGAAAAAGCATTATTTTCGAAGGGAATCACAAGAATTTTCTGCCGTGTGATCGAGCTGCTTTTACAAAATGCTTCATCTTCCATTTACAGATGCAATTTTTTTAACCTACCCTCTACCTTCCCCCACCACACACACCTCCCGTTTTTTGAAAAAAAAACAAAACCAAAAAACACTTTGGCAAAACTATCCTAAGCAAGTTTTCTCAAACTAGAATAAGTGATGAAATTAAGTATCATAAACCACATTTTTAAAAGTAACTGTTTTTCACCAGACTGTGTCCTGTATATAGTTGTCTGTATATATTATCATTATTTTTTTCCATTTTTTTTTCCCCATTTTATTCTATTTTCCATTTTATTTTATTTCAATAGTCAAATGGTTCTTATCTCAACCCATGGGTCTTCTTTCCCTTTCCCAATTCACCTTCTTGAGTAGGGAGGGGTCACTGGGTAATAGAACAGCTGGCTCCTGCTTAGCCCCAGATGGGCTGAATGTAGACACCAAGAAATTAAAGAAAGTCCTAGAAATGAAAGGGTTTAGTCTCTCTCAGTTTAATGCTCATTTCAACAGAAGTTCCAGGGAAAAATAGCATCTTTGTTAAGGCATCAATGCCCTCGCTCTTTCAATTAAATTCTAAGAGTGCAAAACATGCTCCAGAGGCTCCCTTGAAGTCCTTTGGCAATGAGGTGATGGGACTTAAAACTTCTTAGGTTGCCAAGTTAAAAAAATTAAAAAATGGAAAAACAATTCTTGTTTGGCCGATGCTTTCTAGTCTTCTCTCGTATGTGATAACGAACTCATGAAGAACATGAAGACAAGAAGTTAAACACTTTAAATAAAGAATATCCACTACCAGTTTTCTTCCAACAACCCCAAATTCCTTCTGTGAAGCTCAGCATGAACACTTCCATGTTCTAGTGGTGTGCAGCTACAACACACATCTAATAGCCACAGGGACAGTCACGTTCAACCCAAAGTTCTCAGTTCCACTCACTTCTGTGGATTTTATCTCTGTGTCCAAACTTCTGATGTAAAGCAGAACAGATATTCAGACAGCTTTCTTCAAGAGTGATGGTTTATTTCTACACCATTTTCCATAGATTAAAAATGGCATCGAGAAACAGCAGCAATGGCATAACCCAAGTCTGTCAGATGCTCCAATTAAAACAGGGGAGGAGAAAACAGATGTGAAGGTATTTCATGTTTTGCGGTTGGGTGCAATTCACTTATCACCACTTTTCCAGGTATTTCTCTGAAATGAGCATTTTTCCCTAGATATAAATGGTTTTGGTGGTTTTTTTTTTTCTTCTGGAGGCTATTCTGCTATTTCCCCAGAGGGTTAAGGTTATTCAAAGAGGGAAGTAGTATTATTAGGATTAACTCAAACTACCATAATTAAGTCAATAAAATGAAATAAGTTACAAAAATAAAAAGTCTCTGGCAAGACCAAAGCAGAACACCAGCATATCTCCCAGTATAAAAGGCACCTTGTGTTATTACTGACACATCCACTTTTTCTTCCCACTAACAGTCACCTGAAGTCACTCCTCCATTATTGCATCCCACGTTCATGACAAATACCCCATTTCAGCAGG